AGCAGACTTGCTATTGGCATATGAAGAGCCCCAACAACCTTGACAATGGAGGTGAGATCTTGTGGTAGGTTAGTTCTGCTCCAATCCAACACTTGGGAATGAGGTGTCACTCTCAAAGTTCAAAGTCAGACACATCACTTGTGGAGCCAAATGCTAACGAAAACCATCTCCGTTCTGTCTCTTTTGCTATCTATTCAGAATTGAGAACTGTGAACTGTGTTCTCTAATTATAACTCTCAAGGCCATAAAAACCCAACCTGGCTTTAGTGAATGACCAGAAGCCCTTCCTTCCACCCTTACTGTGCTATGATTTACTTTTATATTAGCTCTCAGGCCAATCTGCGGCATGCACCCAACATTCATCACAAACACCAAGCTTGTAGATTCTGAGTCCCAACACTAAAGGTAAAGAAAACATGGCATCTGCTTATTTTCTTTTTCTTTCTTTCTTTTTCTTTTTTTTTTTTTGTAGAGACAGAGTCTCACTTTTTCGCCCTCAGTAGAGTGCACAGAGTCGCTCCAGCAACCTCCAACTCCTGGGCTTAGGCGATTCTTCTGCCTCAGCCTCCCAAGTAGCTGGGACTACAGGTGCCCACCACAATGCCCGGCTATTTTTTGTTGCAGTTTGGCCAGGGCTGGGTTTGAACCCGCCACCCTCAGTATATGGGGCCGGCACCCTACTCACTGAGCCACAGGCACCTTCCCATTTTCTTTTTCAAAATCATCTACCTGCAGAAAAAGGAAAGACACTTACTAACAAATCTTCTGAACTGGTCTTCAGTTAAAGAAACAGAGGGATAAAAACTCTCTGCCCAATCCCACCAACTGTGTGGGCCCTGCTGGGCAGCATGGTGAAAAATAAGGGAAGAGTGTGGCTGTGAGGCCTCAGCCAAAAACACTCCAAATGCAGTTCCACCGAGCCAGGAGGGAAACCCACAGAGAAGCAACTCCTGTGAATCATGACTCACATGTGAATCATGTCCACATGCAGAAGAAAATCTGAGTCGTGCTTGAGTGCCTGCAGATGGTATAAGCCAGCCAGCCCTAGGAGGTGAGGTCACAGATAAGGTTTTCCTGCTTCTCTTCTGTTTTTTGTTGTTGTTGTTGTTTATTTGTTTGTTTGGTTTGGGTTATTTTTAATGAATGAAATGTTAACTACTTGTGTATTTTGACCCTGCCTGGCCCCAAACCAAGACTCAGCGTGTTAAGTGTGGTAAGCTCACCTTTAAGAAACCCAACCTACTTTTTGTTGTTGTTGCTGCAGTTTTTGGCCAGGGCTGGGCTTGAACCCACCAGCTTTGGCATATGGGGCTGGCACCCTATTCCTTGAGCCATAGGCACTGCCCAACCCAACCTACTTTTGTTCCTGACAACAATTGTACAGAGTAGGCAGGTGAGACGGTGAGGATCTGTAAGCCCATAATACAGATGAGGAACCCAAGTCTCCGCAAAAAATGAAGGCTCAATTCCAAAGGCCAGTGAGGAGGGCTGGGACTTTGATCTTGGTTGTCTTCATCACAGCATATTCACTCATTGAGCATAGCCTAATTTAGCAGAGCTCATATGTTCAACCCACACTGAATTTGTTACTGGAACCACTCACATAGTCCAATTCCTCCTGAGAGGGCTTTCTTTTCATGGCTATTACCCCAGAGGGGAAATGCTTCAAATAAAATCCCAAGTGAATGAGAAGCCAGAGCTCCCTGAAGTCGGGAGAGTCAAGTTCTTGTTTCTTCTCAGCTTTAGCACAGTACCTAGAGTTCAATCAACATTTTTGGAACGAATAAGAGTTCTGTGAGTTTCAAGAAAGCAAACCATGTTTCATGAAGCTTGAGGATGGTTTGAAAGGAAACCAAGTAAGGTAGGAAAACACTGCCCAAGTCTTTGAAAAAGCAATCTAGCTAATTGTTCAACAAGGTTATAAGAGAGAAAAGCATTAGAGAAACGCCTAAGTCCTTCTTCAGCAGAGAGAAAGCTAACCTCAGGAAGCTTTTAGCATTCATTCAACTGGAGATGCAAACTGCAGACATATGGACCTTAGCTGTGAGGCTCTCTGGAGTAACAGCCCAGAAGAGGGGATAACAAGAGAAAGGACCTAAGATTCTGAGTGTGTCTGATCTGCCTGGGGAACCACTACACTGAAGTGAGAGGGGGAAGCAGGAGACAGAATCTGAAAGTAAGAAGAAACCAAGTGACACAATGCCATGGCTTTGACCTCAATGAGTCAGAAAGACCTTGGAGGAAATCATGCAGAGAAATTTCATGATCTAATGTCTGTTACAGAAGGATCACTCTGAATTGCTTTGTTGAAAATAAATGATAGGGTAGGGTAGAGGGAGCTGCCAATACCAGTTAGCAGACTACTGTACACAGGCAAAAGCCTGGTACCTTGAATAAGGCTAACGATGGTGAGGTAAGATTCTGGATATAACCTGAAGATTGATCTGACGTTAACTGGTTACTGCATATGGTATATGTGGCTGGCGCCCTACGCACTGAGCCACAGGTGCCAAGCCTTTCTTTTTTTTTTTTAGAGGCAGAGTCTCACTCTGTTGACCTCGGTAGAGTGCTGTAGCATCACAGCTCACAGCAACCTCCAGCTCTTGGGCTTAGGTGATTCTCTTGCCTCAGCCTCCCAAGCAGCTGGGACTATAGGCGCCCACCACAATGCCCAGCTATTTTTTTGTTGCAGTTTGGCCAGGGCTGGGTTCAAACCTGCCACACTTAGTATATGGGGCCGGCGCCCTACTCACTGAGCCATAGGCACCGCCCCCCCCCTTTTTTTGAGACAGAGTCTCACTCTGTTAACCCAGGCTAGAGTGCCATAGCATCATAGCTCATAGCAACCTCAAACTCCTGGGCTTGACTGATCTTCTTGCCTCAGCCTCCCATGTAGCAGGGACTACAGGAGCCTGCCACACACCCACTAGTTTTTTTCTGTTATTAGTAGAGACAGGGTGTCACTCTTGCTCAGGCTGGTATTGAACTCCGAGCTCAAGCAATCCACCCGCCTTGGCCTCCCAGAGTGCTGGGATAACAGGCATGAGCCACTATGCCCAGTACAAAGAAGCATATTCTATACAGAAGGGCTAATCTATGCCAAAGAAGATGAGGACACAATTCTTTTTGGAAGCCAGAGCAATGGCTTAACATGCTCATATAATAATAGTAAAAACAAGAGCTCCTATTTGTTGAGCACTTGCCATGCATGGCTGCTTCTGTCCTAAGCACTTACATGCATTATCACATTTAACATTCACAACAGTCTTCCTCACACATGAGGAACTGAGATCACAGAAAGTGGTCCAAGGCCTCAATACTCATCAGAGTTAAGAGTCAGGACTCATGTCCTAACAGTCTAGAACCTGTACTTTTTTCACAAGCAGCACCATGGAGGCTGGAGCCAGGTGACAAGAAGCATCACAAGCCACAAAGAACCACAAAAGGGTTAATATTTGGGAAGGAGTGACTGATGAGACCTGCATCTGGAAATATCTCATCCCTGGTATTAGGGAAGATGAATCAGCAAAGACAAGAACAGAGCAGGAAGACCATTTAGAGGGCTGCTGCAATAACAGCGGCCAGAAATGACAGAGGTCTGAACAAAAGCAGTGAGAACGGAGATGGGAGCCAAAGTCAGGAAAAGGAAGGAACAGAAGAGGAAGTGTGGGATGGGAACGACAAGACATGAGTTCAGCTGTCAACACATGAAGGGTGAGGTTCTTGTTAGGCATCCAAGTGGAGATGTCCATCAGGTAGACAGATTTATTGCTACAGGGCCCATGAGGGAAAAGGCTGAGCTGGAGATGCAGGGTGCAGAAAACGCTTTTCCAATGTGTCTCCACCAGGGAACGCTTAGCTCCCGAGGACTCCACAATGGTATCATCTGAGGATCTTCCACAACCATCCCCAAATATTCTTTGAAATCTTACTCCCCCCCCCCCAAGTACATCTGAAAATTCCTTTTCTACAGAATCATCTGGTCTGCCTGAATTACCTTAGGCCCAGAGCAACTCTAGTAGATCCTGGTGCTGCCACCATCCAAACCTGTGACTTCCCCTCTTTCGGGTTATCAATGAAACCAGCTCCAGGGATAGTCTAGTGAGTTCCACAGCAGCCTTTCTTGATGCAACTCTACCCCCAACTGCCTGGAAAGCTCAAACTCTGGGTTCCTAAAAAGTGGTTCCTCGGTTTAAGAAAGCAATAGAAACACTGCCTCTATACCCTTCTGAAGGCACTTTTTTTTTTTTTGAGACAGAGTCTCACTTTGTCACTGTAGGTTTAGTGCCGTGGTGTCATAACCTCAAACTTTTGAGCTCAAGTGGATCCTCTTGCCTCAGCCTCCCAAATAGCTCGGACTACAGGCACCTGCCAGAATGCCTATTTTTTTTTTTTCTGTTTTTAGTAGAGATAAGGTCTTGCTCTTGCTCAGGCGGGTCAGGAACTCCTGAGCTCAAGCAATCCACCCTCCTTGGCCTCCTAGAATGCTGGGATTACAGGCATGAGCCACTGTGCCTGCCAGGCTTAAAGGCAATATGAAGGAGTCTAGCAACTAGGTAACATTTTCAGCACCATGAGCGCAAAGATACAAAGTATCCTCATCCTCCAACTTTTTTTGAGACAAGGTCTCTCTCTGTCACCTGGGCTAGAGTGCAGTGGCATCACATAGCTCACTGTAACCTCCAACTCCTGGGTTCAAATGATACTCCTGTCTTAGCCTCTTCAGTAGCTGGGACTACAGGTATGCACTACCACTCCCAATTTTTTTTTTTTTTTTACTTTTTTATAAAGAAGAGATCTCACTATATTGTTCAGGCTGGTCTTGAACTCCTGGGCTTAAGCAATACTCCTGCCTTGGTCTTCCATAGCTGAAATTTTTATTCAATATGTTTTCTCATTTAAAACAAATGAATGTTGGTAAATAAGTTGACCAAAAAAGAAAAAATGAAAAAATGTATGAATGAATGAATAAAATTATAATCATTTAGGGATTCTCTTACTGTCAACACAGTTTCCAAGCCTTAGCCATAGGCCTCTAGGAATACTGTTGGATGAACCTACCGATGAATGAAGGAAAACATCATTACCAATTTTATACATTTTCACTTTTACTCCATCTACCTCAAGCTAACTTTTAGAAATACAAGTAAGCATCAACACTGTTATTTTTTTTTAAGTTTTATTGCTTTTCACATTCATTTTGTCCCTTCTAAGACTCTATAAAATCTGCCCCCACCCATTAAAACTCATGTTCTGCTACACCCTCAAAGGTACTCTAGATAAAGCCGTCAAAGGAGGACAGCAGTCTGGGTCAGAATACCTGCCCACTGGTTTGAGAAATTAGTTTTTTGTTTGTTTGTTTTTTTGAGAAATTAGTTCAATATCTCTATGTCTCTGGGCATTACACTGCCCATGTATAAAATGTGTCTAATAAGTATGCCCTATTGGAATGACAGGATGAGATTAAATATATAAAGGTGCTTCTGGAAAGCATAAAATCACATTCATATTTCTCTTCTTCCTCCCCCCTCCACTTGGAATCCTAATCTTCCGACCCTCTACCTAACCAAATTTTGATATGCATGCTCTGCTCACTTTTCTAAGCAACTACGCCACCCTTCTCTTTTCTGGTCTCATAACTAGAGCCACACTGTTCCCCTCTGAGACTCTCCTGACTGTTTTTTATGGAGATGGGGTTGCTCCCCTCACCCTAAAGGCTCCTTTAGAGCAGAGACCACTCCTCCTCTGGCCCTGGTGTTGCCCTCGACACCAAGCTCCTAAGCAGCCCTCAATCATGACTCCCTGACAGGATGATGATAAATGTAGCTTGACCAATACTTTCTCAGCTAAAAATGTAACGTGCAGCCCATTTATAATTCCATGCATTAAACAGCACTGTTTCTAAATAGGTCACCCAAAATCGTGGCTGAAATGATCTCAAAATAGATGTGGCCCTGCTTTCCTGGCCCTCACGTCTTTTCTAGATGTGAGCCTCCTCTGAGCGTCCCAACTCTTTCACCTCTTGGATTGGTTACCTGCACCACTGTTGCTAAGCAGGCTGACAGAAAGCTCTTCTGTTCCACTGAAGTTCAAGAAGGACATGCCGTCACCAGGCTGGTGGGAAGTGCTGTGCCTGCAGAGAACAGAGCCCAGCCACCTGGTTTAATGTGGGTCATCCACCTCTTTTTCCTGTTCACCCTATATCCCTGGGGGTTTCATCAGAAACTGGCCTGAATATTTAGCCACTTGGGCTGACAACCATCAGGACTCATATCTCAAGCCACCAGGCTGCAGTGCTTGGTTTGTGTGCCAGCTCTGGCCTCCTGTGTCCTGCTCCTCTGGCCTTGATACCCAACTGCTTTCCCACCACCACGCTAGACCACCCACCCTCTCTGTCCCATGCCTCCACCTTAGGAATAAGGATGGATGTGAGATGCTTAAGCAGACGTACTAGAGTTGCTCTAGTAAAAGGGTCATGCCTTGCCCATACCCCTTGCCCATCTCTAGGGATGTCAAGATGATTGAAAGAGGGGCCAAAGATTGCTCTTTGCAAAGTGTTTTCTAAAGCAACACAGGAACAGTGAGTCCAGGTGTAACCCAGGCTCACACTTGTCAAGGCTTAAATGACTTTCTTCCTACACTGACTCTCTTTAGATGCCTAATAAAACATTCAGAGCTCTGTTTCAAAAAAAGCTGTTTCCATAAACACAGGCCTTGATTGCCACTGCTTTTAGCATTAACTTCTAATCTCAACAGTAGAATTTCTCAATCATTAAAATGACAGAAGTCATAAAGAGGCTGCCCACAACATTTAGCATGAATCACCCGACTGACCACTCAAAACCCAAAGCATTTTCTCTCTCATTTTCAGCCTTGACTGAGGTTTAGACAAATCCATGTTTTAGATTCAAGATAAAGCAGGGCCTAAATGACATCTCAGGCAAAAACATCAGGTCGTTTGCTTTGCACTTTGCCCCGAGAAGAGAAAGACACTGACTGCCAAAGGAAGGTTCTAATCTTATATTGTCTTTTTAAGTCTTATAAACATGTTTTGTCAGCTATCTGTTATGCACGTTGTCCCAAGTGCCAAAGAATGTTCTCAAGTTACCTTCTGAAGCCCCATGCATATCTCACCTTCCAGCAGCTTCATGATATGCTAACTCCAGCAGCTCTGCAGAGGAGTGAGTTGGGTCCCTCTGCCCGCTGCCCTGCAGCTCCGCCATATTCTGTCGGGTCTGGTGATGGATCTGGATGGCCTCTCCGGATGGTCCTACCCAGACAAAGAACTACTAAGCATCATTCCCACCTGAAAGCTAGTGCTGTGCGCTTAACTGTAACTGTTCTTCTTTCCAACTGCTAGGATAAAGGTATTAGAGAGACTAAAAGATGAGCACACCACACAGGAACATGACACAAGACACCCTTGGGCTCCCAGAAAGGTACCTCCTCTTCCTAAGCTGGACCCATTCTACAGTGGAGCCTCATGTTCATCATCCTGTTCAGTCTATTAAGAATATTTTATAAGCCTGTTTGATGCAGGCCAACTGAGACACCACAGAGAAATATACCAGAATGGGAGGCAAGACCCCTTCCCAAGAGGGTTAACACAAACTCAATCAGAAGGAAGCACAAGTGAAACACCAATGACTCTGTTAATACTTAAGAAAATAACAACTATGACTCTGCTTCTCTAAGAAGCAGAAAATGGTTAAGTGCAAAGCAGTTGGAATAGGAGATAAACTGGAATTAGTCAAGTTTACTGAAGAAAGCTGCATAGAAAAAGAGATATTTTAGAGCTAAGCGGTTTTTTTAAATTTTTATATTTATGTATTTAGTCTTTTTGAGACAGAGTCTCTCTCTGTCACCCTGGGTAGAGCGCTATGGAATCATAGCTCACAGAAACCTCAAACTCCAGGACTTAAGAAATCCTCTTGCCTCAGCCTTCCAAGTAGCTGGAACTATAGGCACCCGCCACAACACCCAATTAGTTTTTCTATTTTTAGTAGAGATGGGTTCTTGCTGTTGCTTAGGCTGGTCTGGAACTCCTGAGCTCAGGCGATCCACTTGCCTCAGTCTCCCAGAGTGCTAGGATTACAGGAGTGAGCCACCATGCCCAGCCTAGAGCTAAGTGTTAAACAATGTTAGCAAGGGTAGAAGGGGACAGCAAATAGGTAGAAGAAATTATATTAGTGAAATCCCAAATGTGAAAGAGGCAAAACATGTGCAGAAGATCACTTGAGAAAGAGAAGAGCTCCTGAGGATGGGAATGAGGAGAGAGGTTGGGAAGCCGGCAAAGGAAGGCCTTGGCTATCAGAAGGCCACGCAGATGTATTTAGGAGGAAGAAACAAGTAAGCAGTGTTTGGAGGATACTGTTTTAGTAAAGTGTACACGAAGGGTGGGAGGAGGAAAAGCACAGAACAGGAAGAGCTGAAGGTCACAGAAGAAGCATCAAAAGCTCTCTTGAGAGCTCTCTCACATGGAGTCAGTGGGGATAGCAATAGAATGGAAAAGAAGCCAGAAAGACACAAGCAGTTTCTCTTTGACTGATTATGGCAGAGGTAAAAGGGCAAAGGGGGTCAAACCCCGTTTTGCCCTCTTACCTCACAGCCATGACCCCAATGTATTTCTGACTAATGTAACTTTTAAACACTAAAAGTGCAAAAAACAAACAAACAAACAAACAAAAAACTAGACATTTCCAGGCATTCAGAAGGATGGTTTCCAAGAAAAAAATAAAAAAACCTGGAACACAACACATCTGTTCCTTCCCAGCCCAGTAAGAGCTCATTAAGCTGGAGTTTAATTTTAGCTGCAGTGTTATAAAACCTTACTGTCATCTTCTTTAGGACAGACCACAGATCAAAAAGGACAGACTAGGAAAACAGTGAATGTGAAAAAAAATTTTTTTTCAGTTGTCACAGACCCCTAAGAAAAAACAAAGTACCATAATTCTGTGTAACCAAGACAGCAATATCAATATCCAGAGAGAACTAAGAGAAGAGGAAACGAACAAGAATGAGGGACATTAGTTGGTCTCAGGAAAGAAAGCAAGTAGCAAAGCAGTCCCTTAAAATACGCCCTTAGGCTTACACAGCTAATTAGTTACAAAGCCTGTCCAGGAGAAGACCTGAGATAGCCAAAGTGGACACGGTTATTCCCCTCTTACTAGAAGCTGGAAGCTGAAACACTAGACCAAAAACACATGAATGATGAGAGATGAGGACCATGGCTGGAACCCTAGTCCAAGGCTCTTCCTGAGCAACAAACTTACCCACAGGAAAAGTGTGCATCCAGCGCCTTCTGTTGGATGTGAGCTTCATGGGCATTCGAGAGGGGGCAAAGGGGTTAATCAGCGCTCGCTGGGGGGTGTATCCACCAGGCCGGACATGGAGCATGGATTCTGCGCTGCCCACATGGAACCTCCCTGGTGCGCTGGAATCTCTCTGTGGTGGCTCCATCATGTTCTCCAGGACATCTGCCCGGTATCAGGGAGTTGAGGCACAAAGAGAAAGCACAGAGCCATGAGGAAACCAGAACTAAGCAGGCTGATAAGCAGAACTGACAAGAACCCTGGATGTAAATGTCAGAGAGTAAGAGAAATGAGTAAAATTGCCAAACTATAAAGAATGGAGTATGTTTGGGTTTGTTACTTACTAAATACGTAGGAGAAGGAGAATTCAAGTTCCTGAATTACTGGCCCAATTAAGCCATCTACAAACTTGACAGAAAGGACCACATATCACCTGGAGACCCTGGACACTGTAGTGGATGTAATGACTGAATAATAGGACTTAAGTTGTCTCCTTGGGTCAGTGATTTTCAACTGGTGTGTGCTGTGAAAATTTTTAAAGACCATTAATTAAATTATTTTTGAAACAAGTTCAAAGCACAGTAAATACTTTTTTTTTTTTTTAGTTCAACATAATTTAAATGTGCCATGGAAGTTTAACTATAAGTTCAAGTGTGCCATGATATAAAAAAGGCTGAAAAACACTGCCCTGGGGATAGGGATGACTATTTTTTGTATGTGGGGGAAACAATAAAAATAGATAATTTGGTGGCTAGAAGGGCAAACCCTGGCAGAGCTAGTCAATTTTTTTTTTTTTTTTTTGAGACAGAGTCTCAAGCTGTTACCCTGGGTAGAGTGCCATGGCAACACAGCAACCTCCAACTCTTGGGCTCAAGCAATTTACTTGCCTCAGCCTTCCAAGTAGCTGGAACTACAGGCACCCACCCCAACACCCAGCTATTTTTGTTGCTGCTGTTGTTGCAGTTCTCATTGTTGTTTTCGCTGGCCCAGGCCAGGTTCAAACCTGCCAGCCTCAGTGTATGTGGTCAGCGCCCTACCCACTGAGCTACGGGCACTGCCCTCAATTTCTTTACTAAACCTGTTTGATTTTCCTCTTGGGCACACAACAAGAATATATCATTCCCAGCCCCTTTGCAGTGAAGCCAAATGACTTAGTTCCAGCAATCCAACACAGGTAAAAGAGATAATGTTCCAATTCCAGGCCTGAACCACAATGATCTCCACATATGATGCCTGTAATCCTAGCACTCTAGGAGGCCGAGGTGGATGGACTGCTTAAGCTCAAGAGTTTGAGACCAGCTTGACCCTGTCTCTAAAAATACCTGGGTGTTGTGGTGGGCATCTGTAGTCCCAGCTACTTGGGAGACTTAGGTAAGAGAATTGCTTGAACCCAGGAGTTTGATGTTGCTGTGAGCTATGATGCCATAATATTCTACCCAGGGCAACAAAGTGAGACACTATCTCAAAAAACAAAAAAAAAAGTCAGGAGGGGTCTGTGAAACAGTACTAGTAGTTGTTGCTGGATGGCCAAGTTACAAGAAGAGCAGCATCTGTGCTCCTGAGTGTTAGACAGGAACAGGTAGCTGAGAGGAGAAGCCTTAAAATAGAACATAGGACAAAGGTTTGTTTTTTTGTTGTTGTTTGTTTGTTTTTTTTGGTTGAGACAGAGTCTCACTATTGCCCTTGGTAGAGTGCCATGGAGTCACACAGCTCACAGCAACCCCCAATTCCTGCGCCTAGGCAATTCTCTTGCCTCAGCCTCCTGAGTAGCTGGGGCTACAGGCACCTGCTACAACACCCAGCTATTTTTTTGTTGCAGTTTGGCCAGGGCTGGATTTGAACCCACCACCCTCATCATATGGGGCTGGCGGCATCCTACCCACTGAGCCACAGGTGCTGCCCAGGACAAAGGTGGTTTTATGTATGGTGCTACTAGAAATGGCAAGGCAATAAGCAAACCTCTTTGACTCTAGACCTAAGAAAAGCTCTACATTAACATAGGAAAAGGTATTGTAATGAGAGAACAAAGTGTAGAGATAAAACATAGTGTAAAGCGCACATACCTAACAGCTAAGGGGATTCTCACCCACTGCACTGCTGTGGAAATAATGGAGATGGGGGACTCACACCCCACCCCAGACCACCAGCTCCCCACCCACCCTCTGCTACAGTAGGATGCTGTTGTCACTCTGTCTGTGTGCCAGCACTCTGACCTCGAGTGCTGGTGTAGCCCAGGGAGCTGCTGACTTCATACTGGTGCAAGTGGGGGTGTGGGATCATCAGGATGTTGGTACTCTTGCCCAGGGAGCTGTCATCAGAAGCCTGGCTTCTCACTTCCTCAGAGGGCAGTGCACGGCTGGGCAGGGAAGGGCTGGATGAGACATCGCAGGAGCTGGCGCTCTTTCGACTATGACTTTCCCGCTCTCGCACGGACCTGTGGGCAAGAGACAAAAAGTTACCACCAAGCAATGAATCCTGTCCCACCTCTTAAAGCCATCACCTGCCCAAGCCACTTGGGAAACTAATGACAAAGACCCCCAATGTGATACATGAGTGGGAAATACATAGGAGGTACTTTGCCCTAAGCAGCTTGAAATATGTAAGAAAGGGAGAAATGACTGATAGTTCTCACATAGCCAAAGTGATGGGATCAGAGCTGTAAAGAAGTGATGGCCCCACCTCATCCTACTGATCAATCTCACATCACTAAAAACAGGGGACCCGACAAGAGACCATGTTATGTAAGACAAAGTACACAGTACCCCCAGAGAAGTCTTTTTGCCCTTAAACTTGAACCTAAACCTAACCAAGCTTCTAGAGATAATTCACACTTTAGAAGAAATTCAGAGGGGCGGTGGTATGGCTCAGGAAGTAGGGCACTGGTCCAATATACTGAGGGTGGTGGGTTGGAACCCAGCCCCGGCCAAACTTCAAAAAAAATAAAAAAAAAAAAAAAGAAAGAAAAAAGAAATTCAGAGAGTAAAGAGAAAGGTAAAACATTACAAGGAAACAACCAGCCAAAAGAAGAAAGCAAGATATTCTACTATTAGACACACACACAAAAGACACATTACAACCAAAGGAAATGTGTGCATCTTGTTTAGATCCCAAATTATACAAAACAACTATAGAAATATGTTTTTGAGATAAATGGGAACTGTGAATATGGGTTGGCTATTAGAGGACATTAAGAAATTAGTGTTAATTTTGTTATTAGTATTAATTTTTTAAAGTTCTTATTAGTAAGAGACATATACTGACATATGTATCAGGGAAGGAGAAAGAAATAGGAATGCCTAGGATTTATTTTAATATTCTTCAGCCAAAATGTAAAATGTGAGAGAAGTGATGAAATAAGACGGGCAACATGGTGACAACTATTCATGATATTAGTATCTCTGAGCATGACTGAACATTTCCTTAATAAACGTTTAAAAAGCAATATACTGGCTTGGCACCTGTAGCTCAGCAGCTAGAGCGCCAGCCACATACACCATGGCTGGTGGGTTCAAGCCAGGCCAGGCCTGCCAAACAACAATGACAACTACAACAAAAAAAATAGCCAGGAGTTGTGGTGGGTGCCTGTAGTCCCAGCTAATCAGGAGGCTGAGGCAAGAGAATTACTTTAGGCCAAGAGTTTGAGGTTGCTGTGAGATATGACGCCACAGCACTTTACCAAGGGTGATATAGTGAGACTCTGTCTCAATAAATAAGTAAATAACAATTACTCATTAAAACATAACATATGAAATTTACTAAATGTAGAATATAAATGTCACAACAACTAAGAAAATGCCAAGAAGGCAGTTTGATGAAAATATTTTAATTGTATATAAAACCAGCACACTGTACCTTATGATTGCATTAATGCACACAGCTATAATTTAATAATAAAAAAACAAAAAAACAAATCCATAAACTCCATAAAGAAAGAATCTCTAGAAGCAGTAGGAAGAAAGATCAAAAAGAAAGAAGCCCGGCTCAGTGCCTGTGGCTCAAGTGGCTAAGGCGCCAGCCACATACACCTAAGGTGGTGGGTTCAAATCCAGCCCGGGCCCGCCAAACAATAATGATGGCTGCAACCAAAAATTGCCGGGCATAGTGGTGGGCGCCTGTGGTCCCAGCTACTTGGGAGGCAGAGGCAGAAGACTTGCTTAAGCCCAGGAGTTGGAGGCTACTGTGAGCTGTGATACCACAGTACTCTACCCAAGGGGATAGCTTGAGGCTCTGTCTCAAAAAAAAAAAAAAAGAAGCCCAATGGGGAAGTAAAAATTAAGAACAAAAGACTTAGCCCACCAATAGGATGCCCTTCTGACATCAGAGTCTTCCTTCTCCTCCTGGAAGGATTTTGTTTTACCTAAGAGTTTAAATAAAGCCTGAAAATAGATCCCAGGAGCTGACTACATATTCATTATTTTAACAGAAAATACTTAAGCACCAAAATATGCTTAGCCATTTGTAAGAGGTAGAGCACAGATTAAGACATGGTTTGTGCCTTCAAGTTACCTGGATACCTAAAACACTAGGTTTTGCTGTTGTTGATTAGATAAAAGAAAACCAAAAATCTAACTATGAGAGCAATTTTAAAGACTCAGAAGAAAAGCCCCTAAGTAGCTACTACTGAGGCCTTAAGTAGCATCACGTGTAGGAAACCTGCTGTTAATAGCACTTATTCTGAGCTCTAAACCAGGGGTCCTCAAAATACAGCCCGCGGGCCACATGCGGCCCACCAAGGACATTTATCTGGCCAGCCGGGTGTTTTTGCTGCCACTGCCTGTCCTGCTTAGCAGCCGACTCGTCCTGGGCCTGCAGTCCGGCCCTCCAACGGTCTGAGGGACAGTGAACTGGCCCCCTGTTTAAAAAGTTTGAGGACTCCTGCCTAAACAGTCTCAGGAAGAGATATTACAATGGGTTCAGGGAAAAGGATTAAAAAACAAAAAACAAAAAAGACCATGTGTAGCTTGGCACCTGTGGCTAAAGTGGCTAAGATGCTAGCCACATACACCTAAGGTGGCGGGTTTGAATCTAGCCTGGGCCCGCCAAGGTGCCTATGGTTCCAGCTACTTGGGAGGCTGAGGCAGGGGACTCGCTTGAGCCCAGGACTTGGAGGTTGTTGTGAGCTGTGATGCCACAGCACTCTACCCAGGGGGACAGCTTGAGGCTCTGTCTCAAAAACAAAAACAAAAACAAAACAAACAAAAAAAAAACCATGTGGGGGCAGCGCCTGTGGCTCAGTGAGTAGGGCACCAGCCCCATATGCCAAGGGTGGCAGGTTCGAACTTGGCCCTGGCCAAACTGCAACAACAAAAAAAGAAATAGCCAGGTGTCGTAGCAGGCTCCTTAGTCCCAGCTACTCGGGAGGCTGAGGCAAGAGAATCACCTAAGCCCAAGAACTGGAGGTTGCTGTGAGCTGTGATGCCACAGCACTCGAATCAAGGGCAACAAAGTGAGACTCTGTCTCTTAAAAAAAAAAAATCATGTGGCCACAACTTCATTTGGAACAAAATTAAGAGATATAATATTCTTACAGTTAGTTGTATTTAAATATACACATTTAAGAAATCTAGAAAACAGTATTTAGCCAACCAGGGGAGAAAACAAGGTAGAATTCTGTTTCTCACATTCATGCAAAAAAATTCTACATAAAGAATTAAACACAGGCCAGGCACAGTGGCTCACACTTAGAATCCTGGCCTCCCATGGTGGATTGCTAGAGCTCAGGAGTTTGAGACCAGTCTGAGCAAGAGAGAGACCCTGTCTCTAAAAAAAAAAAAAAAAAAAAATAGCTGGGCTGTGTGACAGGTGGCTGTAGTCCTAGCTCCTTGAGAAGTTGAGGCAAAAGGATCATTTGAGCCCAAGAGTTTGAGGTTGCTGTAAGCTATGATGCCATAGCACTCTACAAGGGCAACAAAGTGAGAGACTCTGTCTCAATTAAAAAAAAAAAAAACATAAAATCCAAGGCTATAGGTTCTGCGTCCGTAGCTCAGTGAGTAGGGTACTGGACACATATGCTGATACTGGAGGGTTTGAGCCTAGCTCAGGCCACTAAACAACAATGACAAATGCAATCAAAAAACAGCGGGGCGTTGTGATGGGCACCTATAGTCCCAGCTATCTGGTAGGCTGAGGCAAGAGAATTGCTTAAGCCCAAGAGTTTGAGGTTGCTGTGAGCTGTGATGCCACGGCACTCTACCAAGGGCAACATAGTGAGACTATGTCTCAAAAAAAAAAAAATTCTAAGACTATAAGCAGTAGAATAAAATATACGGCTGAGCATGGCCTATAATTCCATGCCCTATAATCATGCCTATAATTCCAGCATTTTGGAAGGCTGAGGCAAGAGGATTGTTTAAGCCCAGATTAGCCTGGGCAACAGAGCAAGACCCTATCTCTAAAAATGTAAAATAAAATTAGCCAATCATAGTTGCTTGTGCCTATAGCCCTAGCCACTTGGGAGGCTGAGGTACAAGGACTACTTGAGCTCAGTGAGCTATGATAAGGCCACTGATTCTAAAATCTGTGGATTACTTCTCTTAGCTAGAATGCTCTCTTTATTTTGAGACAATACTTCACAGCAAACAATGGCGGGGACTGAAGAGCCTGAAAAGAAAATCCCTGATGCTCTACATAGCATGGCTTTCTTCTGGCTAATTTTAATTTAAAACGTTTTCAAAGTTACTCCCATAAATATGCCTAGTGGACATCAGGCGATTTGTGCACATGTATACCCTGCCCTCACCCCCCGCCCCCAAAGTGAATCTGGCAGGAAACCTGCAGGTGGCGAGGCGCTGAGCCCGGGATGGGCCGGGCAGCCTGAACACTTGAGCATCATAGGCATCATAATCTACTTGGATGGGAAGGGCGTTCTCAGATTCTTTTGGAGACCCGAGAGCTGAAATACACAAATAATACAAATTGTCATCCAAGTACATTTCAAACAGATGCCTTCAGAGGATTTCCACCAAAACCTGCAAGGCATAGGTGACCATCATCTCCCCTTGGAAAATGAAATAACCCATCTATCAGGTTTGGGATTAAACAATATGCCAAAGTTATACAGAGATAGTACAGCATTAAAAGAAGGCAAGGTGTGGGTAGCATTTCATTCTTCTGTGATCCTGCTCTAAAAATACCATCTTAGTATGTTTAGTACTTTAATACTTTTTACCAAATAAATAAATAAATGCATGAATAAATCAAACTTTCTACCTGATCCTGACAACTGATCTATGAAAAAGAAAAACAAGGTTTTGTCATCATTTCACAGTGTTTAGGACCAAAATACAAGGTGGTTAAAGGACCTTCCATAGTGACACAAAAGGAACTCAGGTCTTCCAACTTTTCTGTGAACTTTTAAGTGATTTCACATAATCTTTTTTTGCCATGGGTTAGGTGACTCTTTCTAAAAGTAATGTAAGAAGATCTCAAAAGTACTCACATGTATCACGGCCATTTTTTGCTTTCTCAGAGGCAGGCTGTAAAATTAAATTAAATAGATAGTTAATCACTTCCTCCTCTGCCAGAACAGAACTTATCACAAGGCACAGTAGGCACATGGCTGCTCCCCAAGGCAGAGACCATGTCTTAACACTTCCTGTAACTGATGGAAAGGCAGTAGCTAACGTCTGACACTTACCTACCATGGTCCTTTCCTTCTCACCTCACATCTTGTTTGTTCTCAGAGCCTATCCAGTAGGGACATAGACCTCACTTTAAAAGGGACAATATTAATTTCTAGACAGGATAAAGAAACTAGCCTACAGTCACATGATTAGCAGGTGGCAGAGTCAAAATCCTAACTGGTGGTCAATCCACTGTTCAGGTGACCCAAAGGCTATGTGTTTCCTTTCCCCACAGCACTGTCACCTGTCTGCTTATACCTAAGAGAGCTGAGCACTCTGCAGATCACCTAGTATGCTAAAATGGAGAACCAGGTAGAGGAAAAAAAATCTGACAGAACTATCATTTTTTAGATTTTTTTCAATGAATCTTTTTCAGGACCCTGAGACCTCTCATAACAATATTCATGATCAAGATGCAGATACGTTTCTCCACTTTGGCAAGAATGGTTGTGGTGAAGGCATAAAACCTCATAAGGCAGGAGAAGGCTCTTTGTAGGCAGAGTCCTATCTCCCAGCACTTTACTACTTGACATGGCCTATTTAAGGGGTCTTCAGATTCCTCCAAATTAATATTTTCCATTTTAACAGTCCTCCTTGCCAAAAAAAAAAAAAAAAAAGAAAAGCGAAGAAGTGACCCTGAAACTATTCTTTTTAAAGACAAAGTCTCACTCTGTCACCCTGGGATAGAGTGCTGTGGCATCATACCTCACAGCAACCTCAAACTCTTGGGCTCAAGTGATCCTCTTACCGCAGCCTCCCAAGTAGGTGGGACTATAGGTGCCTGCCACAATGCCTGGCTAGTTTTCCTATTTTGGGTAGAGATGGGGGTCTCACTTTTTGCTCAGGCTGTTCTTGAAGTCCTGAGCTTAGGTATTCTACCCACCTCGGTCTCCCAGAATACTAGGACTATAGGCATGAGCCACTACTCCTAGCTGCCCTAAAACTATTAATGTAACGTGGCCACAAATGGGGCAACTCTCAGAGAATTCAGCTCTACTAGAAATAGGCAGAGGAGTGACAGCACCCTGGTGTGGGGCCTCTTTTTCTTCTCATATTACATCAAAAATACTTGTTCAGGTTCTTAAAACTGTCATTTTTTATTAGTTACAAATATATTCCATCAAGTAGATACGGCATGGTTTGTTCAGCCATTGTTTTCTTGCTTTCAACTTCTCACTATTATAAATGAAACTAGACCCAAATCTATTTTACCACATGCCCCAAAATGGACTTGCCTAGTCAAATGGCATGAACATTGACATTGCTCCCAATACACATGGTTGAACTGCTTTGCAAAATTATCATACACTAACCAGGTACTCAAGTACCAATTTTACCACTTTTTTCCAGCATGTAGTATAATTTATATATTTTAAACCTATTTGGTAAGCAAAAACATGAATTTACTTTCTAGGTTTTTTTTTTAGACACAGTCTCACTTTGTTGCCCTGGTAGAGTGCTGTAGCATCATAGCTCACAGCAACCTCAAACCCTATGCATAAGCGATTCTCTTGTCTCAGTCTCCCAAGTACCTGGGACTACAGATACCTGCCCCGCTATTTTTAGAGACAGGGTCTCGCTCTTGCTCAGGCTAGTCTTGAACTCTTGAGCTCAGGCAATCCACCAGCGTTGGCCTTCTGAAGTGCTAGGATTACAGGTGTGAGCCATCTTGCCCAACCCCCACTTTCTAGTTTGAATTTTCATTTCTTTCTTTTTTTTTTTTTTGAGACAGAGCCTCAAGCTATCCCCCTGGGTAGAGTGCTGTTGCATCACAACTCATAGCAACCTCCAACTCCTGGGCTCAAGCGAGTCTCCTGCCTCGGCCTCCCAAGTAGCTGGGACCACAGGCGCCTGCCATAATGCCCGGCTATTTTTTGGTTGCAGCTGTCATTGTTGTTTTGGCGGGCCCAGGTTGGATTTGAAACCACCACCTTAGGTGTATGTGGCTGGCGCCTTAGCCACAGGTGCCGAGCCAGAATTTTCATTTCTTTACTATTAGGATGCACCTTCTTATCACATTTCCCTTTGGATATCTGAGTTTTGTCCCCGCTGGTATCTGAGTGGCCTCAGGATTGGAATAAACCAGTCACAACATAATAAAATTAACTTTTTCCATGTTTTTCATGCTGTCTATGGGGGTTATTTTATTATTCATAACTGTAAAGTTCTAAGACAAATTTCTTTTTTTTTTTTTTTTGGAGACAGAGCCTCAAGCTATCCCCCTGGGTAGAGTGTCGTGGCATCATAGCTCACAGCAACCTCCAACTCCTGGGCTCAAGTGAGTCTCCTGCCTCAGCCTCCCTCAGTAGCTGGGACCGCAGGCTACTTTTTGGGTGAGCCATCAACACCCAGCTATTTTTTGGTTGCAGCCATCATTGTTTTTGGCGGGCCGGGCTGGATTCGAACCCGCCACCTTAGGTGTATGTGGCTGGCGCCCTAGCCACTTGGGCCACAGGCGCCGAGCCGACAAATTTCTTAAACCCTGTTCCTGATCATGGGGAGGATGAGGGGAAATGAAGGTTCTTTAGGACTAAAATAAACACATCAATGTGTGACAGTCCCCAAAGGCTCTCCTGGTCATGAAACCTACCTTCTTTCCTGCCAGTTTTATTCGTGGAGTGAAACTGTTACAGAAGAGCTGGCTTTTGGACGTGTAGAAACTATAAAAGAAACCAACAGGGCCATTAATCTAAATCCCTTTTATTTTAACCTCAAAACATAGTTGACATCCCAGGCATGGATTAGTCCTCCAGTGATGGAATTTATTTTAAGCTTCACTGATCTTGCAAATTCTAACTTCTTTTGCAAGAAGTGACTATAAAACATTAATTATGTTTCTAATTGTTATGCTATTCTTTTTTTCCCCATAAATTATTTTATGCATGCAAATCTTAACTCCTAAGTGGATCAGAATCTCCTCCTTGTGGCAATGATTAAAATCTATTTATACCATGATACTTTCACCTTGATACCTGGCATGATGCTACACCCAAGGGAGGTCCCTATCAATCGATTAGCACTTAGTAAGCAAGAATAAAGCAACAAAAGAAAAAGGTTAGTACTCAAGAAAAGATGGCAGAAACCATTAAATCCCAATGCCTCTGAAGAGCATCTTAATATATTCATGTCAGGTATACAAGAAAACTGGAGACTCATCCTTGCCTTGAATATGCTGAAAGAGGCTGTGCAGCCTTTGCTATTACTCAAGCATCTCTCTGTATTCTCTTTTATCTATCATTCACTAGTGGTAAAGATGTTTTGAATATTGACCAATCTCCACCTTGCATCAAAACTTTGACCACAAGCAAAAAAGAAAAAAAAACCCAAAAATCAAAAAGGCAATTTCAACAGATGACCAATGGATTGTGAAGCAACCCTTGTGGCATATTAAGTAAATAAGAACTTAAAATGCGACACACAGGCAGCACCCGTAGCTCAGTGTGCAGGGCGTGGGCCGCATATACTGAAGCTAGAGGGTTCGAGCCTGGTCTGGGCCTTCTAAACCACAAGGACAACTGCAACAACAACAAAAATAGCCAGGCATTATGGCAGGCACCTGTAGTCCCAGCTACTTGGGAGGCTGAGGCAAGAGAATCACTTAAACCCAAGAGTTTGAGGTTGCTGTGAGCTGTGATGCCATAGTACTCTACTGAGGGCGACATAGTGAGAGTCTGTCTCAAAATAAAAAAAAAGGGATGCCACATAAAGACAGACCTAGAATCCAAATGGGCCCTGTGATTTGGTCTTTCACAGTGGTATTTAGGAAAGTATCAAATAGAGAAGGCTACTCTCTTCCCAGATATTAATTGTAAAACATCTGAGTGCTCAAGTGATGTCAGCATGAAGAAAGGGTTTCTATCACATAAAGCATAATGAAATTACTATTTTTGAAGGTCAAATACCATCTAATATCATGGTTTCAAATATCTTAGTTTCAAACTAAGAACTGCAGCTTTGTCATGAACTTGTTGTTCAACCCTAGGCAAGCCACTCGGGAACTCATTGCCTACCTACACAATGTGACTGAATGGTTTACACGATTTCTAAGATAAATTCCTGCGATATCCCAAAAATCTCAGTTTTATAACTTCCTTTTTTTTTTAATCTTCCTTTTTTTTTTTTTTTAGACAGAGTCCCACTCCTCTGTTACCCCAGGCTAGAGTGCTATGGCATCATACCTCACAGCAACCTCACACTCAGGCTCAAGTGATCCTCCTGCCTCAGCCTCCTGAGTAGCCGGGACTACAGGTGCCTGTCATAACATTTGGTTAGTTTTTCTATTTTTAGTAGAGACAAGGTCTTGTTCCTGCTCAGGTTGGTCTCAAACACCTGACCTCAAGCAATCCATCTGCCTTGGTCTCCCAGAGAGCTAGGATTACAGGCGTGAGCCACTGCACCAGGCCAGTTTTGTAACTTTTAATATACCTGACATTAAGTTACTTTCTGGATCAATTTTCATTAAGAGATAATTATACTTTGGGAGCAGTTAAGTCCTCACTGAAGACAATTTGATTATGCTTAGTAAACTCTTGGGCCTTAACATAGTGGGAATACCTTGCCTGTTTCTAAAGAGGCTTTGCTGACTAGAAAAGAACAAGAGCCCCTGTGAGCAGCTGTCCATCTCAGGGCCTTGTGTTCCCATCCCCAAGTGGCACAGGCAAACAAAGCTTACAACGAAATGAAAAGCAGGCCTTGGGCCTTCACGCATCTCAGATTCTAAAGCATCTGGTTCCATCCTCCATCTTAACTGGCATCAGAGAAACAATTCAGGATGAAAAATAAAGTGAAAATTCAGGAAACTTTCAAGTTGCTCTAAAGTAAAATTAAAGGAAACTATAATACTTCATATACAACTTTGTGCATGCTATGGTTATTTTTTACCTTACTTCCTGAACTAAACTGAAAACCATAAAATATGATGTATAATTAAAGAGCAGCTATTTGTTTTTTTTAACCGGCAATTGAATCTGAATGTCTATTAAAAGATTACAGATCCAAAGATAGAGGCTGACAAAAAAAGAAGTTACTCTGAAATTGTGAAAAAAAGAAATCAGCTCCATCTTACTAGGTTTTTATTTTTATTTTCTTTTATTTTTAATTTTTTGTAGGGACAGGGTCTTGCTATGCTGTTCAAGCTGGTCTTGAACTCCTGCCCTCAAGTAATACTCCTGCTTTGGACACCCAGGTGTAAGCCACTGTCCTCAGCCAAGAATCAGGTTTTTAAAATAATGGTAATATAGGCCAGGTATGGGGTACAGAGGCTCACACCTGTAATCCTAACACTCGAGGCCAAAGTGGTTAAATTGCATAAGCTCAGGAGTTCAAGACCAGCCTAAGCAAGAGCAAGACCCATCTCTACTAAAAATAGAAAAACTAGCGAGGCATGGTGGCAGGTGACTGTAGTCCTAGCTACTCGGGTGGCTGACGTAAAAGGATCACTTGAGCCCAAGAGTTTGAGGTTTCTATGAGCTATGATGCCACAGCACTCTACCCAGGATGACAGAGTGAGATTCTGTCTCAAAAAAAAAAAAAATAAATAATAATAATAATAATAATGGTGGCTTGGCACCCATAGCACACTGTTTACAGAGCCAGCCACATACGTTGAGGTTTGTGGGTTCAAATCTAGCCCAGGTCAGTTAAAAACAATGACAACTGCAACAACAAAAAAATAGCTGGGTGTTGGGCAGTGCCTTGGCTCAATGGGTAGAGCGCTGGCCCCATATACTGAGGGTGGCAGGTTCAAACCTGGCCCCAGCCAAACTGCAACAAAAAAATAGCCAGGTGTTGTGGCAGGCACCTGTGGTCCCAGACTACTTGGGAGGCTGAGGCAGAAGACTCGCTTGAGCCCAGGAGTTGGAGGTTGCTGTGAGCTGTGATGTCACAGCACTCTACCCAGGGGGACAGCTTGAGGCTCTGTCTCAAAAAAAAAAAAA